AAACTGCTAAATGCTCGCAACCTCATTTCTTTCCACATTGGCGCATAAACTGCCAGCGCTCTAGTGCTACGCATATCAATGTGTCCATTGCAGGCGTGGTGGGCCTAGCGATACACCGTTACGACAAAGGAGGGCAGCCACAGTGCACCTGCCGGTTCTGTATCCGCACGAGCTCAGACCCAGGTACCAGTGGGCGTGACGAAGGAGGAAAGCAGCGCTAGAGGCCAGTGAGTCGTGATATCGACCAACTCTGCGTTTTCTTAGGGGGAAGATCCTTGAGCGGCAACCGTTCGTCCCTCGAAATAGTACGTAGGATGTCTTACGTTTTGACCTCCAAGGTGGTGCTAGTGGGAGATTTCTCCTGTGCGTTGTTGAACAATAATAAATTCGCAGCATGCGCTTTAACTAAAGTCGAATTCTCCTGTCTCTCATTCCCCATTAGCAGCCATTGGCAGGTTCATTGAGCACTATCTGACAAGAAAGGGTTGCTACGTTATACTCACTGGGCGTAATTTCCTTTGTTTTAGAAAGGTTTAGCGAGCGTTGGGTTGCAGTGCCATGAATACAGTGAACTAGTATATACCATGAACTCGAGGTGGTTAAAGGTGGGAAGTAGACACGAAGCGCAGGCCGTAAGAAAATGTGCATGTGCCACCTCTTGTTTAGTCCTTGAACTTCAGATGGACGGACGGATGGACATAGAGATGGATTGACGCACTGATGGACGGACGGACGGACAGACAGACATAGGGGTGGACGCACAGACGGACGGATCGATGGACAGACAGGGGGACGGCTGCACGAATAGACCTACGGACGGATGTATGTACGGACGGACGCACCGATGATCACAGGGATGAACAGACACACAGACTGGACGCATGGACGCACGCAAGCAAGAACGAATGGACGGACAGAAGCAAGGGCGGACTGACGAACGCTTCGCCCCACCAATCATCATTCATTCCGTGGATATGCTGTGATTTTTTTTCTTTTGTCCTCGTTAACTCCGTCAATTACACCGACCAGCGTGCACCGACGGCGACAGCTCTCAACAAAAGGCGGGCGACTATAAAAGCTGAGCTGTGTGACATTGCTGTTTATTTTTGCCTTGTCTCCCCATTCCATCAATGCGGAGGCCCGAGAAAAATGATGATTGTGGACTTCAGTTAGAAAGTCGCCGTAGTCAATGATACGCTAAATGAACTCTAGAGGAAATCGGGATGTTCGCAAGAGATCCAAGTTGTGTATATCGATCGGCGGAACAACACCACCAAGCTGAAAAGAAACGTCAAGTCGCAAGCGATCAACAACCTGGCTTACTATATTCATTTTCATATACATGGCGGGGAATTCGTTGGTGAAGTTAACATTGTGAAACCACACAGTGTCAGCATTATTGTTGCGGTAGGTGTAGCATCCAATATTTTTAGTTCGATATGTCGTAATCTATGGCGAAAGCACTCCAGTGGTCGGTAATTTTTTTCTGCCCTTGTTCATGACTTCGATATTTCTTCCTACACTGCTACCACGATTTTAGTCACTTTCACCTACCGTACGGTCATGAGATGCAGTGATGCGCGGCAATTAGCCGTCTTCTTTTTCGGCGTTTTTTTTGTCAGGTTCGAATTCAGCTATGCGTGTAGATTGGGGACAAGAAATTGTTTTGTGGCTTTGTCAACTTGTTGTCAGGAAGATACCGAAGAGAAACTTACAATGACACTTATATTATAGCGGCCATAGTGAATGTGCTCGAATCCTGTAAAAAAAAGAGGCTGATGATGGGACATGTCAACGCAGTGCTGGTGCACCCTGCTGTTTATCGTTTTCTCGACAATCTTCACTCATATATGGGTCTCAGGGGTAGAAGCCTCTAGGAACTGTAAGTCGCGTCGTGCAGCATGGCATTTGTTATTGCGTCAATGAGAATCACCACTGAATCTTTTGCCCCAGTTTTGAATTTAGTGACCGGCTTAATTGCGAGTGAGTGCATTCAATGAACAGCTTTTGTTTGAGCAGAAAGACTAGCAAGAGAGAGAAAGAATATAAGAATAGTAGATGAGTTAACTAGGCTAAGTCCACTTTGCTACGTCACATGTGGAGGGAGGGGAATAAGGGAGTGATAGAGAGAAACATATATAGAAGAGGAACTTGGACTTTGCAACACAACACACACACTGCACACAAAGTGCAGGTTGCACAGGCGATTGCTCAGTGATGTTCTCAAGAATTGTAAAAGGGGTCGTGTGGCTTTATGGGCTGACACACTTGAAGGCAATGCACCCAAGATCTTCTTTATTGTAAAGAATGAATCATCCAGTCTTTTTAGGGCACACTGGAGAGTCGGGCGATCTTTTCTAAAGTCAGTGAAATGACAAAGGACATAGTTGAGAGCTTCTACGCAGTTGCAGTTATCACGATTAGGGGATGTCAGTCATACCAATACGATAACCGCATGAATTGGCAAAGGCTACGCCAACCCACAGCTAACACAGCATTGCTAAGCGTAACGCCATGAAGTCTTTGATGACAGCTGTAATTGGAGTAATAAACCAAGGTTCTGTAGGGCTTTAGGTGAATTTCAGTGAAACATTTATATGTATATTTGGGGCCTTATACGCGATATGGTGAAGTTTTCTTGCAGTGTCAACCCTTCACAGGGGTATAAGCAGTGTGGGCGCTCTGTAATAGGCACCTCGGGCAGCGTTGTTGGCGAGCTGGTTACCACTGATCCCACAGTGACCCGGAAGCCATTGAACGACTGTGTCGTGTTCTTCAATAGCGACGAAATGATTGATTTTATTGATTTGAGACACGAACTGATGGTACCCGTGTTGTAGACTTAACACACATTGAAGTTGTAGTTTTGTAGACCCTTGTAGTTTTGGATTATAGCTCACTTACCAGGGGCTCTTCGCATAACAAATTTAATTGCGGCTAGAAGAGTGGCAAGCTTGGAGCCCATAGACGTCTTGACGTGTGAAGCCTAAATTTTGACGGAGATCGACCGAGTTGGAACCATAAAGGCGTCCATTGAGCTTCACAAGACTGAATCTTCTGGATAAAAACGAGTTCGGTTTGCATACGATATATGCAAAATGTCGAATGAGATCTGCTTGAGGGTTGAAGATGAAAGGCTAGGCTTTTTGTATATCTCCGGCACTTCTGGTGAAGAAATGGGCCAGAGAGCAATTTGCACTCACCACCTGATTTTTGCCTCGCCTACAAAGAAAATTGAGTATTGAAACTTTTGGGCCATTTCCACCGACGTCTGGCTTCCGGGCGAAAGAAACCTAAACGAAAAAATTTCGCAGATAGTTTTAATCATTTGTCACCTGTTCATACACAATACGAGTACTGTTCTTTTCAGCCGTTGAAAGGCTAGACTCTTAAACCGTGGTTTTACAGTGGAAGTCGGAAAAGGAAAATGCATCAGTATAACTTGTAGCTGAGGCGAGTTGTTTCATAAATCAAGGTAATTTGGTGTGCGCAAATGAAGACAATGACACAGAAAACATGGGACAGGGACAATCGCAAACTTTGAAGTGAATTTTCTTATTCGTCACCTCTTCAAATATATAGTTCCGAAAGAAGACAATCAAGTGGTCATTGGGTCAAAACCAAACAGCTTACAAAAAGCTGCGCAAAAAATTACGCTCACTATAAATAAGAATATTGACGTGTCACTAACGCAAGCGTGGCCCTCTCGCAGAAATATAAAAGCCTTTCGTGAGTTCGTGGGCTGTGGTAACACCGCTCCTACCCAAAGTATTATTCTCTGTGAAAATCGGTGAGCACATGCAAGCTTGGAAATGCATGGGTAAATGCGCGTTTCCGTTATTTCTGAGTGAAAGCCCATGTTTCCTTGCATGGTCGTTCACGCAACGCTCATGTGACCTTACGTAAAATTTTCCTACAAGGCAGCGGTGTTTACGTATGAAAACATGTGCTTCTTTTTCGCAACCGCTACATTTTTATTTTTTATGTTGTAGGCCAGTGTGCTAAGATTTGGGTGCACGTTAAAGAACACCAGGTAGTCTAAATTTCCGGAATCCTTCAGTACGGCGCATCTCATAATCATACGGTGGTTTTGGAACGTTAAACGCCGCATATTAATCAATCATCATATTATCAGATTTTGTTTTGCAGGAGGAGCTTCCTGGGACAAAGCGCAGCCAGCTTACGCGGGGTGGAGAACAGTATCGGCGCACCATGCCTACTCTCTATCTTTTTCCAATTGTGTCAAATGCGATGCATATCAACTCTGCGATGATCAATGCGATGTATTTATCAACTCTAGAAGCCACCAGCGATGCAAGGCAGGGTCCACACTTGAACAGGCTACTTTGGCGTCACGCAGAAGAACCTCTGCGATCGCCGTCACTACCGTGCAAGGATACCAGGCAGCAAATAAACACCACACCTGATTATTAAGTCAACCTTGCATTGCATGTGTGCATAATTTTATGAGAGCAGAACGTGCACACACTTTCAAAATCCCCCTCTTTACAAGCTTAGACTGCGCAGAATCGTAGGGCTATAAGGCTTTCTGCGCCCGGAGAATATAACACCAACATAGTTGCTCAGCTAAAACGGGACATAGATCTAAAAACTGCCGCGAGTGATCAGAGGGAAATTTTTAGGTGAAGGTCAGGACCTTTCCGCATTGTTCAAAAACATTAAGAACAGTATTAACAGAGATGCGTAAGGTTGTAAAATGGGGCCTCTTTGAAAGAATATTTTCTGTGTCGTTGTCTTTGTTTGCGGACACAAATTTACCTTGAAGGAAATAGATGTAACGTTATGATGTTTCCTTTGTTAAAACAGGTGAAGCCGTTCCGAAAGACAAGTGGGAAGCTTTTTACAGTGAACAATAATATTCATTCGCTCTTCGGCAAATCAGTGCTGTCACTGAACAGAGCTTATTTTCAAGAAGAAAAATTTAGATTACTTTACACAATGTGCCATTCTAGCGAAGCATTTGAGGGAATACAACAAGATATTGAAACGGCAACCGGCGTATAACGCGATTCAAGGAAGGTGATATTACTTCATTGGTCTAACACATTAGTGTGTTTCTCTGACTTTGGTAGGTGAGTACTTCTTTTTTATAACTGGACTACTCAAGCATAAGTGCTAGCAGAGAAGATCTATCTAACGCAGCAGTGTGCCTAACTGTGCTGGTTGGTACACTAGTAATACGAGAACAAACAGCGCTGGACCTGGAATGGTGTAAGAGTGACATATGACGGCGCTGAACTAACAACCACTCGTTTATTATTATTATTTATTATATTATTTGATTTACAACACAGATACACAAGGACACAGAGGAAAGAGGGCAGAGAGCAAGTTGGCAACTGCCACCTGGAGGGGCACAACACCTGCTCACTTTTTTGGAGGAGGAAAGAAACAGAGGAAACAAAGATTATCGAGAAGAAAAAGGGAAGAACATAAAAAATGACGAAGACTGGTTTATTGCCGGTATATGCAATATATGCAGAAGCTTTGGGCAGAAGAACAACTTAAAACACAACAACTGTGCAGAGAAAGAGAGGGAAGAAATCATCATATCAAATTCATCAGCGGAACAGCTCGTCACGTTTTGAAAACTAATTTCCCTGTTATGCAGAAAAATTGATGGAACACTGGCGCAAGCATGCCCATATGCATGAATATGGTAAGCTTCACTGATCTTACGTCTTCTTTGGTGTCTGTACATTTTCAAGACATGGCACAGCTCAAGCATTGGTAGCACACACGTGCTTTGCAGTGCTCAGAGGTAGCAGGTTGATACGAGCCTGACCCCTGCAGAAATTCTGGGATTATTTTCGGTAGCAGGTGCAGTGTCAGTATACAGGTGCACGCGTCTGGTTGACAAGAAAAAATCACCTACCGAGCCGGTGATAGTAACCATTGCGGGAACGATAAGTACATCTGAAATTAAGGCTTGGCCTGTTATCTATAAGGTAGAGCCTCTATCCCCTCAGCCACTGCAGTGCTTGAATTGTTGGAGATATGGCCACAGCGCAAAACGGTGCAGATAAACAGCCAGATGTCGAATATGCGGAGAAAATCATGTCAGTCGTAAGTGCAACTCGACGGAAGCGAAGTGCTGTTTATGTCATGAAGCGCATCCTGCAGACTCTTTAGATTGTGAGGCGAAAGAACGAGAAGCTAGGCTACTGGAAATTGTGGAATCAGGCGTTGCTTCCGAAGGAAGCTGTGACTGAAATACAAGGACGCTCGAAAGGCTACGCAAGCGTAACAGCACGACATACCATTGCTACGGATGCATTGTTAGCAAAATCTATAGCAGAGACCATAGAGAAGGCAACGGAACAGGCGATGGCGCATCTTGCGAGCAATATTATTGGAGTCGTGGCTGAATTGTTAACATCTCAGTTGACCCAAATCATTGCTTCAGTGTCTATGAAAAATCAGACTTCCCAGGATTTGGAGGTTTCAAGGGGTGCAGGGACAGAAAGCCTGATAGCTCCTACACGATGCGCATCTCCTAAAGCAGGACCCTCCAATAAGATACTGCGGGCAGATCCAGAACCTATATCAGATGACTCCGATGAATTCACAGATATGGATGCGGAATCTCAAAATTCTTTAAAGAGTGCCAGATTTCCCCCATCGAAAAAGTCTCCACAGAAATCAAAATCACCTGTCAAAGAAGGACTTTTTGAGAACCTCTCCAAAAAAAGACTTTTTGATGAAAGATCTTTTGGATCAAGCAGTCTCTGCGGTGGGTTTATAGTGTCAAAATAAGCTCCCTAAAGGTATTACAGTAGAATTGTCGATTAATATGGTTGGCTACCACAGGTTTATCGTATATTTTTTCGCAAGTTTCCCCAGATATATTACTTTACAAGAAAATTGGCTTACAAGTGGACAAATATTTTAACTAAAAATTATCGCTTATTTCGTTTAGACAGACCTAGCAAAGGGGGTGGACTTCCCATTTTTATATAAACTAAATTTAGTCATAGAGCGAAGAATAACTACCTTTGCATGAATACTAACTATGAAATTATGGTATTAGACATCACTCTGTCAGGCTGTTCCCCTTTTTCTTTTGTTAACGCATACTTTCTGGTAGGAGTGCAGGACACAAGATGCTTAGATGCAATGTTAGCTTCCTGCCGGAAGGATGTAATATTAACTAGTAACTTCTATTCACACCACGTGTCTTGGGGTTTCAAGACTGATGTAAATGAAGGGCGCTTGTGGTAATGGACTGTTGATAATCACTTATCTTGTGTAAATTTCTCCACTGTTACGTTTAATAGGAGACAATCAAAATCAGCTATAGATCTGACCTTCTCCAGCTCCTCACTAAGCATTCCGTCGTGAAAAACTTTAGATTGCGCAAGACACAGCCAACTTTTACAATAACCTCAGGCACAGGTGGATCGTTTAGTCCATGGTTGAACGCTGATTGTATGAGGGGGTTTAGAAAATGAAAAGCGGCGTAAAAGAAACTTATTCACAACCAATGCCCCAAAAACTGGTGTGACTATAAATACGTGGCAGCAGATTTTAAACCTACAGTACGCAAAGCAAGAGATGACGATGACACTAACAAATTCAGCAATCTTTTAAAGTCAAACAACAGAAAAGCACTTTTTAGATTTTTCCGTTCCAGAAAAATGATACCGCCATCATACAATATTAATGCTTCAATTCTATCGCCTCGCGAACTCACTGAAATATTAGAAAACGTTGCTTAAGGATTATAAGAAATATTCAGATCAATAATGCCAAAACACATATAAAAGCCAATTGCAGGGGAGGAGTTCAATGATGTGACATTAGCGAAACTAGCGGATGTAGTGAGGCACTTACATCCTACAGCACCTGGACCATATAGAGTAGCCTCAGCAATGATAAAAGTACTATACGAGATTTCCCTACACAAACTTTGTAATATGGTTAATTACTCTTTAGAAAATTCTTGGATACCTGCGGATTGGAAACTTTCCAAAATAATTCTGACACCTAAAAAAAACATGGACTTGGGTATACACTTGACAATGTGAGGCCTATTTCTCTTACATCTAATTTGGTGAAATTAACTGAAAGAGTTTTGAATGCACGTGTAATAAAATACACAAAGAAAAAATCAATACTGAACCCTAGTGAAATTGGCTTTAAATCAGGCTGTTCCGTATGGTGTGCGCACGTAGATTTGGAGAGTCGTATACAGTTGGCTAGGCGTAGAATGGAGTATTGTGCATTAGTTACTCTGGATTTGGCCAAGGCGTATGACAAAGTGGAGCATAAAATACTAATAGGACAGATGGAAATGCATCACTTACCAAACTACATGACAGCATGGGTAGCAGAGTTTTTCAGGGAGAAAGAGTTTTATTGCTTTCAAAGGGGTTGTTTTTCTAACAGATATCGACAATACCGTGGCGTACTACAGGGGGCAGTGCTCTCACCGGTGTTGTTTAACATCTTCCTCAGTTTGATTCCAACACATAGCGATATTCATTTATATGTGAATGCAGATGATATTGCTTTCTTTGCGACAGACAGTGATCTGCAATTACTTTATCAGACATTACAAAATTACCTAAACATGATAGAGCAATGAGTAATGGCTTGAAAAAATTCGAATGTCTCTAAACGTAAACAAAAGCGCACTTCCAGCGTTCTCGTTCAGGTGTCCTGTCAACATCTCCCTGATGTATAGCACAGAGCAGGCTCCCCTGGTGTATTCACTCAAATACTTAGGTACCATATATAACAGCTCGTTAAATTGGAAAAGTCACATTGATCACATTGGGTCCAAAGCAACACGAGCCATGGGGTGGTTACGCAAGCTCAGCAACAGAAAAACGGGGCTGCGAAGAAATACATTGGTAATGATCTATACAATATAAATGCGTCCTATCAAGGAATTCGGCTGTGTCTTATTTTCGGGCATTGCAACTTATAAAATGAGAACGCTGATACTATTAGAAAGGTAAGCTTTACGACTGTGCCTTGGACTGCCCAAGTTTGTTGCTAACAATGTGCTATACATGGAAATGCATCTACCGTCATTGTTGAATAGATTCAAAATGCTTACTATCAAAACATTTTTAAAACTCTACACTTTGCCCAAAAGAGAATTGTTTTATGCTTTTATTAAATAGCCAAGTTTATTTTATGAAACTTGGTGGCCGCGATTCCACTGCCCACAGATCATGTTCGTGCAAGCGCTGCTAGAACTACTGAACGACAAAATCAAACATATTGATACGTGTATGGAACTGTCACCTAGACACAGCTGAATTGGCACCCAAATGAAGAAGACGATAACGTGGTTGTAGTGGGTTGGACTCTAGAGCTTCTCCCGTTGGCCTGCATGACTGTGCGCTCTTTAAGCCGTTAGCAAGACCAGCTCTCGGTGAATAAATCTTCCCCGTAACATCTTTTGGTGGAAGGTGCGGGTTCTTCACACAACCCGGCTCTGGAACTCCGCAGTGGACGCCAGCTTTCTCCAGCCACGATGCCTGAAACTGCACTCAGGCCTCGCCATCCGCGCCGGCTCCATCACCTGTGATTCCCCCCCATCTTCTCGACCCTGGCACGTTTTCCGGGACGGACAGCACGGACGTCGAAGAATGGCTCGCATTATTCGAGCGCATCAGCAAGCACTACAGGTGGGACGAAACGCTTATGCTGGCAAATATTCTGTTCTACCTAAGGGGTACGGCACGCGCCTGGTATGAGACGCATGAAGAAGAATTAACCAGCTGGGACACATGCAAGCAAAAGCTTCGCGATTTGTTTGGTCGGTCAGTTGCTCGTCAGATGGCAGCCAGGCAGGACCTCGCGTCGCGTGTTCAATCATCGACGGAGTCGTACGTCACGTACATCCAAGACGTACTGGCACTGTGCCGGAAGACGGACAAAAACATGTCCGAGGCGGACAAAATCAGCAACGTGTTGAAAGGCATTGCTGATGATGCTTTCAACATACTAATGTGCAAGAACTGCACCACTGTCGACTCCATCATATCCGAATGCCGACGATTTGAACAAGCAAAAAGCAGGCGAATCACCCACCACATCGCGAGACTACCAAACACTG